CCAAAATCAACGGTGATTTGAGGGATAAATGATTTCATGTGGGTGGATCTCCGGTGAATGAGGTGATGTAGGATGGAGAATCAGTGAGCAACATCGTCACAAGGCTTGGCAGCTCGAGGACTATGCCGAAAGAGAAATGTCTCAATTCCGTGTGGCAGCCAAGAACATGAGAATTCAAGGAGAAATGATTTTCATACGGGTCACTCTGGTAAATGAAGTGATATGGGATAGTGAATTCATCGAGTAGAGCCACCATAGGACTGGCAGCTTCAAGGACTACGCTGAAAAAGAAATGTCTCGATCCTTCGGCAGCCAAGTCCTTAACAACGAACGATCAGGCAGAACCTCTGTTGATTATGGCAGCTCGGAGCTTGGAGGTGATGATAATACAGTTATATTTAAGTTTTGGAGTTAGTTTGAGGTGTTGGAGTAGGCTTAGGTTTGGGTTGCCATTTTTATCCTAATTAAGGATTTCTTTAACCAGCAAGTAGGTTGTAGGTGAAGGGTGGTGGTTGTGGTAGATGATTTGAGGTGGTGGCAACGACAGTAGCTACGACTCTGAATTAGGAATTTCTATAACCAACGGGAAGGTTGTAGGTGAATGTGGTTGTTGTGGTGGTGGATAAGGATAGGGATTTGAGGTGGTGGCAGCGGCGGTAATGACAGAGATGGTGGTGAAGAAGATATAGGTTGATAATTCCGACCGTGAAATAAGTTGTGACTTAAACATTTTGTATTTCGTGAATGAAAAATAAATTGAGATCAATTATTGGGTAATTTTGATCAAATTATTGAATAATTGTGACCAATAAAATGAGTAATTTGTGGCCAATAAATAATACGTAACCTAAAAATGTAATTGTTACTAAATTTGTAATTTTAATCTACGATTTGTTTCTTTGTGATCAATAAGATAAGTTATGATCAATTAATTTGACAATTTGATCAAATAATACGTTACTTAAAAAAATGTGTGATTTTGTGACTAAATTTATAATTGCGACCTACAATTTGTGGTTTCGTGACTGATAAATAAAATTGTGAAAAATTAATTTGATAATTTGTAATCTATACATTTTATGATTTGTGATCGAGAAATAAGTCGTGACCAATTATTGGGTAATTTTGACCAATTATCGGGTAATTGTGAGCAATAGAACGAGTAATTTGTGACTAATAATAACTCGTGATCAAAGAATATGTGATTGTGACTAAATTTGTTGAGATATACGATTTGTGTCTTTGTGACCATAAATAAATTTTAATCAATTAATTTGATAATCTGGTCGAATAATATGTAATCTAAAAATGTGTTATTTCGTGATTAAATTTGTAATTATGACTTACAATTTGTGATTTTGTGACAGATAAATAAATTTGATAATTTGTGACTGTACAATAAGTTGTGACCAATAAATAATTTGTGACTTATAAAAATGTATAATTTGCGACTAAATTTATAGTTGTGACTTATAAATTGTGGTTTGCTACTAGTATGTGACCATGATTATACATTATGTGTTATTATGATCGTGATCCGTTTAATTAAATTATAGATCACAAAATTTTATAGAGTGGTGCTACGTGTACACACACTTTTTTACACAATGTTTTACACCTCCCTCACATGGAGGGGGATCAACGATTATTTTATTATATGTGGGCCCCCCTCCATGTGAGGGAGGTGTAAAACATTGTGTAAAAAATTGTGTACACATAGCTTTATTCAATTTTATAAGATGTCATAAAATGTGACCATCTAATTTCTTAACGAAAATGATTTTGGAACCTTAGGATGCGATGAGAAGTGGGCGAGCAAAGAGAAACAACAAAGCGAGACCCAAAAGAGGAGAGCGAGGGTATAATTGACAAGGGACGTGCTATAAGTACATTAGGAGTGCCAGAATGGTGTCCATAATGAACACCATTATGACAATTATGAACAGTCATTATGACACCCCTAATGTACAAGAAGAATTATCCAATTGACAAAGCCATAGGGATTATCCTAGCCATGGCTGTATCTATGTATGTATTTGGCGGGTACTTGTGTAGAGAGAGAATTTGAGTAGAGATTATCCTCGTCATGGGTGGGCGTGGGTGTAATTAATCACCTGATTTTTTAAATATTTTTTTCAAGTTTGTTAAATGTGAAATAGTATATTTAAAGTATTGTATATATTTTCCCCACGCGTCTCTCTCTCTTTAATCACACGTTCTTCAATAAAATAATATTATACATAAATTCAAAAAAATTCTTTTTTTAACCACACATTTTTCAAAAAATCATTGTTCCAAAATATATTTTTCCTCAACCTTTGATTTTAATGCAGCCCTAACAAGGGCTTAGTGTCATTTGGACTTCAGGAAATTAGGTTCATTGTCCCCAAAAAAAAAAAAGATGTTAAATTAAGCCCTGGTGCCCATTATTATTCGATAAAAAAAAAAAATTGAATAGTATTTTTAGAAGAATCTATGATTAAAAAATAAAGAAAATTTTTGAGTTTATGTGCAAAATATTTTATTGTGTGGATGTATAATTGAAAATGATCTTGTGGTAAAAAGAGTTTTTAAAACCTAATTTTTTTGGTAAAAGATTCAAATATATTCCATTTTCATTCTTAGTCATAATTATACCCATTTAAATAAAAAATCAATTGTAAAATTATGTGCCACAATGTAATGTGTAGTAAAACTCTTTAAATAAAACATTGGTTAGAGTTGCCCTATTTTGATTTAACTACACTTTTAAACCTCCAAAACTTCCCTCACCCCTCAAATAAAAGTTCAATTTTATATCTTTTATTTTTGATTTGGTTTGCTACCGGTGCACTCTTATCACCGGTGTGAATCCAACTTCTTCGATCACTATCGTCGTCTTATTACAAAATAAAAATCAAATTTCAGATTTAGATTGCCACTATTCTAATCCTCCTCGTTTCTTCTATCCAAGTTTGCCCCTTCCCTTTTCACCGATTTCTCCCCTTTCTCTTTCCAGTCAAGAAAAAAATTAATTTATGTAAAATAGTTAATCTTTAAGTAATTAAGGTTTCTAATTTTACCTTTGAATTGTAATTTTTTTTAATTAATTAGAACGGCTTCAAACTTTTGCTTACGTTTCTGGTTATAATGGTTGGTCATTAAGCTTGTCAAGGCATGAAGTTTTATGCTGCTGTTGTTGTTTATGAATAAAAGTGTTTATGTTTGAGCTTACTGATGTTTATATTGGTAAAGTAATTTGAGAAAACTATACTAAATTATATTGAAACTCAGAAAGATAAATGAAAAATGTAGATGAGAAGGGCATAAAATCAACTCCAATTTTACATTAAAAGACATGAATTTCACTACAAACATCCTTAATCCCATCAGGAATAATGACATACGTTACTCTTATTTAGTCCTAATTAATTAAACCGAAATGAAAATGAGATGAACCCACATCTTCAAGGAGCTCCTCCGCCACCAAATCCTCCACTAGGCCCACTGGCACCTCCTAAGCCAATATTGCCTGCAGGAGCACCACCACCTCCTCCTCCAGCTTGCAATCCACCTCCTGGCCCACCTCCAATACCTAACCTTCCACCTATTCCACCACCAAAGCCTCCACCTATATCCAATCCACGGCCAATACCAATGTCAATTCCGCCACCAAAACCACCCCCTCCTCCAACACCAGCACCAATGTCGATGCCCCCTTTAGTGCCACTGCCATTGCCATCAAATGCACCACCATTATCGTCTCCCTCATCACCAAGATCGGCTGGACGACTCGTTTTGAATGACAAAACTCTAGCATTGGCAGTGTAAAGAGCACACAGAAATACCAAAATGAGAAACTTAGGAGACATTTTGGACCAATACTGGAATTAATGTTTGCAGAAATGAAAATAAAGCTATAGGGGATTATATAGAGGTTCACATACACACAGACACACACCAGAGTCTTGGTCTCTTAAGCAAAATTGCATGGTTTTTAATGAAGACATGAGTTTCATACAAGCATCTAAGAATCATGCATGTTGGAAACGGCAATTCCTCCAACTGTATTGTATGAAAAAGAGGAACTCCACAATAACTCAACAACTTATTTCTTAGATGATGTTTGATTTAGTTAAAAATGTTGATAAAATCTAAGTTAAAGTCAACAATTAATTTTACCTACATATTTTGCGGGATCGACAAAATCTACTGAAGTTAGGGCTAGATATACTTTCGGTTAAGCAAACAATTGAAACTTTTTTGTGGAAGAGTTAGTGCACGTAATACTTTCGGGTTCTTGTAAATCATCATCTTTAGGAATAAAATTGTACAAGAGGCTACTAGTTCGGTAAACATGGAAAAAGATCCTACCGAGGTGAGTAAGACGAACAAGGTAGAGAGTGGGGGTATAAGGTAGATATGCAACAAGCTAATGAACATTCTAACCCAGTACAGTGAAGGAGATGCAGTTAGATCATTCTTTGGAAGATGTGAGTAACATGACTTGAGATTTATCGAGAGGAAGACCAATCTTTCAAATCAGCTGAGGCATGAGGAGCCAATGAAATTCAAATATTAACTCGGTGTATGACGATGAGCAGTATCAAGCAGGCACGTGAATATAATATTATGCTAAAGAGCAATATTTTATTTACACAGACATTCATATTCATTCGAGACCTGGGAACTAGTCTATGACGTTCTAATGTTTGAATAAATAGATAATACAATTGGCAAGCTATAATTTAGATTTTATAATTTTTTTCTCTATAGTGTTAATTTATTTTAAAATTTAAATCTCTTCCAAAAAGAATAGAAAAACAGGATTTGATTAATTCAGGAAAAAGAGAAGTTGATAATTATTCAGCCTAATTATATTTATCTGAAGAACTACTGCCTTCAGTATAAATCACACCGTAATAATTGATAACTCACATAGATACAACTGATTATCATTCCATCAACTTAGATGACAATATTATTTAGCATTGAGTAGAAGCTTGGAATTGAAAACATAACTAGTTTTTTTTCCCACTAAATCCACTACCAGGTTCGTCACCGTCTTCGCCTCCATGTCCTCCACTGAACTTACCACCAGGTCCTCCATCACCTCCACCTCCATCCCCATTTCCTCCACCATGTCCACCTCCAGGTCCTCCACCATATCCACCACCAGGTCCTCCATCAAATCCACCTCCAGGACCTCCACCATGTCCACCACCTGGTCCTCCACCATATCCACCACCTGGTCTTCCACAAAACCAGCCACAAGGTGCTCCAGCAAACCCGCCACCGGGTCCTCCACCAAAACCACCACCAGGTCCTCCGCCAAACCAGCCACCAGGTCCTCCGCCAAACCCGTACCCGCCACCAGGTCCTCCGCCAAATCCGCCTCCTGGTCCTCCGAATCCACCTCTAGGTCCTTCACCATACCTACCAACAGGTCCTCCACCAAAGCCACCACCACCTGGTCCTCCACCATACCCACCACCACCAGGACCTCCACCAAAGCCACCACCAGGTGCTCCACCAAACCCACCTTCTCCAGGTCCTCCACCAAATCCACCACGAGGTGCTCCACCAAACCCACCACCAGATGCTCCACCATCTCCACCTCCAGGTCCTCCACCATATTCGCCTCCAGGTCCTCCTAATCCACCACCAGGCCCTCTACTGAATCCTCCTCCACCTCCTATTACACTACCAAAACCACCTCCTCCTTCACCATGTCCCCAATGGTGGCGAGATAAGTGTTTTTCATCATTAAAAGAATCCTCAATACCAGCAAGCTCCCTTGCAGTGGCAGTGCAAACAAGAATACCAAGAAGAACAACGAGAATAAACTTATTCAAACTCATCTTTTCAAGTATATATATTGCAATAAACTAACTCTTAATGAGACTCTAAGACACCAAATAGGGTTTATATAATGAGAACAATTCCCTGTTTAATGAAATGGGCAGTTACCAGTTCTTAAATAACCTCATCTTTTCTCATCTGTAAAACACTTAGAAATCGTAATTAACTAATGTACCCAACTGTTTAATCTGTCTAGAAATGGAAACCCTTCATCAGTATTACCTCTCCAAAATTGGTAATCATTTTATAGAAGGAATACATTCAATTAATGAGAAACTGGCAGTTCCTAGTAAATTATTCTTCTGCCAATGCAGTGTTCTTAACATGGGATAATGAGAGGAAAAGAAGATGATGCTGTAATGAGCTAATTTTAGGACATGGTACTACTTTTGCTTAATTCTTTGTGTATCTGTTTATATCATAGGATGTTTTAATTGTGAACATTTGACTAAAATTGATCGCGAGTAAGAAAGTTGAGAATTTTTTTTTTCTTTCTTAAGATTAAGAAATCGCATATTGCTTTCCCTAAAATAGTATATTATAATTACTTGTCCCCAATCAAAGAATTGGAGCACTTCAGTTCAGTAAAAAAAGAAGAACTTAAACTCTAATTGTAAGTGTATAAATAAATTTTATCAAGTCATACAAATTAAAATCAATTATTTCTTTGAAGAAAAACTTTTGATTCCGACAGTGGGAGTACGAGAATAAGCAGAAGGGACATTGACAAAATTTTAGGTCCATTGCCTCCACCACCGCCACCCAAGCCACAGCCACCACCACCTGATTCCTTCTTAAGTTGACAGAATTCAGACCTAAGGGAGATTGTGCTTGGCCTTTCAATTTGCTGAACTTGACAACAATAGAGTAATTAATACTCGTCGTTGTATAGCATAAAACGAGAAGAGTAATTTATGGCTCTATTGTTTTGGTTATTACCATCCATTTGATGAGCATGTTTGGTTTAGCTTATAAAAAGCCAAATTTAAAAAAGCAGCTTCTTTAGGTTTTCTTGGCAGTATGGAGATCATACTGCCGACTGCTTCTTTCCCATATTTTTTAAGCTTAGCCAAAGACACTCTTAGTTATGCCTTTAGCAAGTCATTATTTATATTTAATTTTTTTCTCCGCAGAATTTTGTTTAGTTTCAGATAAATTATAGAGTTATGTACGCGTTTTCTCATCCTCGAAAGAACCCTCTGAGCTAGAGAACTTCCCGGCAGTAACTGTGCATACTACAAGAACAAAAACAATAAAATTAACTGAACTCATCTTTTCAAGTATATATGAATATGACAGTAAAAACTAACTCTCCGTCGATACACTTTATGCCTCGAAATCAGGGTTTATGTAATGAAGAGAATTCCCATTTTATTGAACCGGAGTGGTGGGAACTCTTATATATATACCTCCACCTTCTCATCTGTAAACCGCGCAATCAACTTAGCCATGGCATAACAAGACTTTGATGCATATATCCCACCTTCAAAATTCTCTGTGATAGTAAATTCAGCGCAAGCAAGCAGGGGCGGACGCAGACTTTTTATCTAGGGGCTACAATCAAACTTTCTAAAAATGACAAAAAAATTAAAGTAAGAGATATTTTATTACAATTGTTCTCTACATGTTCTCATATTTTGATAACGTTCCATAATTAAAGTGAGAAATAGAGAAAAATTTAATGTAGTTTCGTAATTCAAATCAACAAAGAAATTGAGTATACAATCTTG